CTCCAGAGAAAAACATCCTGACAGATTATTTACTTTGCTACTCAACAACCCTTGTGCTTCGGTCCTTTGATTAAGAGCCACTCTACTTGTATTTGTTACATTGCACCAGAGATGGGAATACTAAGAAAAAAAGGGAACAAAATAGAAAGGCAGAATGGAGATGACACAAGAGAAGCTCAGAGATGCACATGTGTTTTCTACATTATTATTTTTGCTTTTTTTTGTGATGGAAAAATATTCACCTTGGCAGCATCTCTGAGCCATTATGGCATATGAGCGTGTGCCATTAAAGGAAGAGAAAGCTATCCAAATGAAAGCACCAAGGGAAGCTCCAACATTATCCAAGCTGGAAGTTAGCCAAGACACCAGGTGTCAGGCACACCTGCTCATACAAGCACACAACGTTCTGAATACACACAAATAGTCAAAACTCGGTTTTACAGCCTGGCCACAAAGACAGCTTCAAGTACCCATCAAGACAGGGCACTGGGGAGCTGTAACACAGATTAAATCGCAAGGAAGAACAAAACCTGGGAATTGAAGAGCCATCACCACCCTCTGCACACAAACACATCCAGGCAGTCCCCCCAGGAGCAGTCAGCAAGGCAATCTCTGCGTGAAGGAACTCAGACGCCAAGCTGGAAAGACCTGCATGATTTTGCCAAAAGCAAAACCCATTTCTAAGTTATTTAAGGCAGTGGTAAGGTCACACGTGTGTGAGAGCTGTCAGCACAGCTCACCACTCTCCAGTCTGAGATATCCAGAATCACAGAGGACCAGGAACTCAGTCAGGGTGCCTGCAGTGGGTAAGTGAGCAAAGGCAGCCTCATAGCTCTGCACAGAGCACGTATGCTCTATGGAAGCATCCACAAAGATATAAAAGCTGAAAAACACTCGTCTATTAATTCAGCTTCCCATGTGTGTCCAACATAGTTGGGTTTTTTTTGTCATCAACTGTTACGTTACTATCCTTCCACAGATAAAACAGTAGAGATACTGGGACAAGTCACAGAAATACATCTAATTAAAACTGATCTGGTGTGTTACTTACTAGAAGCATGGGAAAATGGGAAAATGCCTATTTATGATGTTCCTGAATGCATTCAAGGCCAGGCTGGATGTGGCTCTGGGCAGCCTGGTCTGGTGGTTGGCGACCCTGCACATAGCAGGGGGTTGGAACTGGATGATGATTGTGGTCCTTTTCAACCCAGGGCACTCTATGATGATCCACGAATGTCTGCACCTTCATTCATTCCAAGACATCTCACACACAGCTTATTATTCTGCACTGTGCTGATGAAACTGAATTTCCACACAGTCTCTCTATGCCAAGGACTCACAACTAGTTCACAATCTATCTCTATGGATTAAAGATGTCTGGTTTTTGTTTTTTGTTATTTGCTTTTTTTTTTAAACTAGTCTTTTCCAAGAAAGAAACAATGAGAAATTTGGTTAAAATAGGTAAAGACAGAAGAGTGCATCCGTCAGAGCACATAACAATTAACTACCTGGAAATTACATGTAGTTTTTCAAGGCAGGCAAGCTGTTCTACCCACCAATCTGAACAGCTCTGTTGAGTCCTCTCCACATGCAGGGGCTGAAAATGAATGAGCTGTTATAATGAATTAGCAAAGATATGCAGGCACTGTGAGAACTATCACATTTCAGCTGATGGTGTTCTACACCCTTGGCCGGATAAGAAGGCTCTCCAGAAGGATACTGAAAGCTAAAATGGGGTATCCTATGGTAAATGATCCTGAAGGGCTACTGGAAAAAATGGCACAAACATTGAACAAGGTATTTTAAATGAGCTAAGTGCTTACACCTAATTTCCTTCTAATGAGAACAAGCAGTCACCTGGCAAATTTGAAAAGGCAAATATGAAAATTACTCTTCAGACACGCAAAAGCAAATCAAAACAGAAGAAAGATCACCAAAACTCCACACAAACATCCCTCACTCTGTGATTACACCACTTGAACATGAAGCTCGGATGCAGAACAGACTGGGATGGAAGAGGCATGTGGACATGGCACTAAGGGACGTGGCTTATTGCTGGCACATGGCGGGGCAGGCAGTTGGCTGGACTGGTCATATTGGTCATCTTGAAGATCTACTCCAACTGAGGCAGTGCTGTTATTTTCCACTCACAGTCACATCTTTCGCATCTCTCCCAGCCATGCTGCCTGGTAGAAATGTTCGTCCTGCTGCCTCAAAGCCAAGAATGAAGTTCTCTTTGCTTCTTTCTAACACCATGTTACCAAAGGTCTTTTTTTAAACAAAAGAAAAGCATAATTTTAGATTTTAACTTCATTCAAAGAATTTTATTTTTTTTTAAAAGATCTTTTTATGGATCTTTTATTAGATGTTTTTAAAAAGCCTTAATGGCTATGTACACTGTTGGATGTGACAGGCTTGTAGAGGCTAACCAGAAAGCATTAAGGCATAGCAGAGCCTGGAAAAGCAAGAATGTTGAGTTACTCCTCTGCCAATAAACCAAGCAGCACCATTCTCTGCTCCAGAAGCTACCATTCATCCTTCCTGCTCGCCAGAGAAGTGCATAACAGCAGCTGGCAAGCAAGAAGAAAAACATAAAAGGAAAGGTGATGAGATCATGAGCTAATAAGAGAGAACATGCTGCTGTCGGAGGCTCTACGAAAGTCCCATAGAGGAACATGGGACACTTGCTAGCAGCTACACTTGTAAACAAACTACTGCTGTACCACTGAACCTCAATTCTTTGCATGTGGGTTTCCAGAACATGGAACATAGCCACAAAACACTTGGTTTCCCTGCATACGGTCTCTGACTTTTTCCAGGTTTGCCTTGCCAGCTCTAAACAATAAATTCACCTCTGAATTGATCAGACCCATCAAAAAATAATCGTGGTTTCCTCATTTTGCTCACATTCTCTGCAGACAGTGCATGCTACTACATTACCAGCTTGTGCCACCCAGAAATCTCATTTACATGCACTGGAAAATTAAAATCATCTTCTGAGTCTTTATCCTCTGATACATCATCACGATTGTCTCCCAAACCCAACTCAACCAACACAGCCCAACTCAGCACTGCGTGAGCTGAGCCAGAACCATTCCTCTCCCTCCACTGCTTTCCCAGCCTGTGTGGAACAGATTCAGGGTCAGGAAAGAACCTGGAGCTCCTTTCTGCTTCCCAGCCAGCAGCAACAACAGAGCAGACCATTCCTCCCTCCTCTGTGGTCGCTGAACCTCTACATAAAGCATCCTCGGTCTTGCACTGTCCCCTGCCTAAGCTCTGAGCTGAGCAACTGTTTCACAGTATGCTGAAAGGTAAAGGAGAATGGGAGAGCAATCAGGAGTTGGAACTGGAAGGTGGTAACAGGAAGATTTGCGGGGAAAAAGCACATGAAAAGAGCATGGAAAAACCTGTGAAAGGACACAAAGAATCCAGTGCAGAAGTGAAGTAATTGTGGCAAGGGAAACAAATGAAAACACAGTGATGAAAACTTGAGGGAAGGCAAAAATGAAAGAAAGAAATTTGATATCTTGAGTGGTTTTCATTGCGGAGAAAGAGACCAACAGCATTCAGCAAGTAAATTATTCAGTAAATTTCAATAATGTTTCTTTCCACAGCTATTGTGACCAACTGAATAGCTGTGCAAATATTTCCAAGATGATGACAACATTCATCACATCTGAGATATCAAAATGCAGCCTGACTGACTGGCTATTATGAAGCTGGCTGAAAATATATTACCATTAAAATTCAGCAAACAACTGACAACAGAACTGCCACATTTTACTCTTTTGAACTGTATGGAGAAGAGTTTTTTCACATCATACTCACATTTGTCAGCTAGCTGAGAGACAGTAAGCACAATGTCACTCAACAGCCCTCTCTCTGCTTGAAGGATTCCCTTCTGTATGATTTAAACCTGAAATTTGGACTCAACGTTCATTTCCAAAATGCCAATGCCATTTTGACTACGCAGGTAATCCTTCACCTCGTTGTCTATTTCAGAGGTGGCAGTAGCACAGCTCTAGTAACAGAAAGTCATTAAATCCTGGTAATCAATTTAAATAGAAAACATGAAAGTAGGAGATCAGACAAACTGCTCACTGCAGGAAGGAGAGCTGTCAGGTAAACAATGATTATCTGGGGAAAAAGTCTGACTGCCCAACGTGGCTAGTCCCAGGAAACTTTTGCCTAAAAAGATCTCTTATCAATGGAGAAGTTGATGAAGGAAAGTATTTTTTCACATTTTTAATTTAGACTACTTATCTTATGTTCTCATATGTTATCAAGAGTGATGATAAATTGTTCCAGAGCCTCATCTGCAGAAGCCTAAATGTTTTCTTGTTCTCATGCAGCCCTGGGGAAGCTCGCTGTAAATCAATGGGCCCACAAGGTTTGGGGAAAGGCAAACTTGAAGCTTCCAGAACATACTGTGCAAACAGGCTGCTGGATCAGAAAGCTGCACCTCTCTCCCTTGTGAAGAGGTAAGAGAGACTGCTGAAGTGCTCTAAGCCCCTTAAATAAATAGATACTTAAACCAATCGGGTCTGAGCACGTAATAAAAGAAGACCAAGACCAGAGGCACTGCTCCTGTGCCAGCTGGGAGCATATATACCTAATGCACTTACTTCACACTATATATATACCTAATGCACTTACTTCACACTATACACAAATTTGCACAGTACCAGGGCCAACTACTTGCGCAGTCTGTGTGCTACAGTGTGTGCTGCTCTGCTCTTCTGCTGGCTGTAAAGCATCTGCCTTCAAAAAGCAATCCACTCAGCAACAGGTTTTCTTCTTCTCTGTATAGGAACTCTGTCACTTCCAGTCTTGCTCAATTTTTAGATCAGATTTGCTCCTTGTGATCTCCCTGATGTGGTTTATCTCTGCCATCATCTCCCTGTTGCACATTTTTCTTCTAGTTAACCACCCTCAAAAATTTCTTGTTCAAAACTCACTCTGAATGTGATACATAAAAATACACGATAAAACACCCATACCTGTACCAGCCAGATCCCATCTTTTGTATCTTCTACAAGCTCATAGAAATGCATTTCACCACTAAAGTTCGTACTTGAAACTGACTCAGAGGCTTCTTCCTCCTTGAGGGCAGAATAAAGTTCCCCTTCCATAAGGTCACCTGAAAAAGAAGCAATTGGAGACATTCTGTTAAAACATCATGACAGATTACTTAATAGCAGCAATTTCTAATAGTAACAGTGAGTCTATTTCAGAAAGCAGCAGTTTCACTGGGTAGATTTTAAATGGGTGCTCAAAACCCTTGTCAGTAGGAAGGCGACTGAAGTTATTTTAGTTCCATCCATAGGGACCTGACTATGAACAATCTGACAACGCTTCTGATTACACAGACATACCACACATGAGAGTAAATGAACATCTCCTGAGCCTCCCTATCTGAAAACAACAGCATCTCAGGGGCAGGCAGCAATCTGAATTCACGTATCTTGACTTGCATTTCACGGGACAGTAATTTTGGAGCAAACAAATTCTCAGCACTGATCATTCGAACAGCATTTCAATCAGAAATACGGTACCTAAAAACATGTTGAGTGTCCCACAAGAAGCAAAAATCCAACACAGAACAATTCAGCTGTTGAGTTCTGTTTACAAAGTTGTGAATCAGTTCTCATCAACTCCATCCTAGCGAGAAAAGGGGCTCGTGGTGAAATCATTTGATGTTTCCCCCACAACCTCATTTCTTCCCCATGATTTGTTCTGCCATCATTACTAACATTCTTAATAACAACTGGTATTTTTGCAACTAATATGTTCAACTTGAAGAAATGAAGCTTTGCCCAAAGAGGCTACTTCCTACAAAATGAGGGGGGAAAAGAAGTGCTGTTACAGCAGAAACACTTGAGAGCTTTCAAAAAGTATTCATGGAATTCAAACTTCAAAATTAGAGAAAAATTCTGCAAAGCCTATTGGCACTAGAATTGTTTCCATGACATTTTAAGTCAGTTAATACAGTTTGTTTGGCGTTAAACACTTCCCTGCAGCATTTGCAGCCCAAACATAATGACATCATGAAAGTACGTGACAGCCAAAGAGCGAAAGTGATTGGAAACAAAACTGAAATTGCCTCCTGGTGCCTACTGGTGAAGCAGGAAAGTGAATAAACAACATAAATAAACAACAAACAATACAAGCAAATTAGATTTAGCTGCCCAGCTTTAACATCAATTATTAAAGCCAGTTAGCATTTTGTGGCTGTGACCTCCCTGTATTCATCCAAACCCTTCTCTGTCTTTTCTGTCTGGTTCCCTTACCGAGCACCAGCATTTTTCTCTCTCTAACAGCAGCCCTTTGCCCCGTGATTTACAAGCAGCAACGTCCTGCTTGGCTGGCACTACGCTGATTACATCAGCCCATCTTCAGCCCTTTGGGCCACTTCCCTTTGGGCCATCTGTACTTTCCATGCACTCCTGCAGCTCTGCCCACTCTCAGTGCTGCCAGGCGCCCCACAGCCCCCCACTTCCACGGATCTGTACCAACTTCTGCAGCACTTTTCCACGCACAGCACCCGCTGATCCCACAGCTCTGCTTCCCTCATCCCCGTCCCGATGACACTCCCAGCAAACAAGCAATCCGTAGGGAAAGGGATGCAGAGAATAAGCCAGCCTCCACTAAATAATAAATAGCAACCCGCCAGCCTGCGTATCTTTGGATTCTTTCCTCCTCGAATTCTTTCCTCCTCGTTTTTCACGGCCGATGACATTCGCTTTCAGCCGAGCGCAGGGAGCCCAGCGCTGCGCTGCACACCCGAAAGCAAAAACCCCCTCCCGACGGGAAACCATTTCTTGACAGCCTGCCCGAGGCCTTCCGAACGCCGCCCGCCCGTGCCTCCCCCCATAGCCGCCCCACCGACAGCCGAGCTCGGGGCACTCAGGGGTCACGCCGGGCCCGCGCCGGGCGCGCTGACGCAGCGCGGAGCGTCGTGCCGCCGTCGGTGCCGCCGTCCGAGCGCCGCCCGGGGCTCCCGCCGCAGCACCGCGATGCCCTTGGCCGGAGCTGCCGCCTTAGGCCCGAGGGGAGGGAGGGAAGGGAGGAGGGAAGCGGCCTTACCTGACTTCTCCACCAGCTCCCGGACATCCTTCTTCTCGGGCAGCCCCGAGTGCCCCAAGCCGCGGCACTCCAGGATGGTCCGCAGCTTCCTGAAGCTCAGCGCCACCGGGTCCACCAGCTGCGTGGCGAAGAAGCCGGTCTCGTACCACACCACGGCCTCGAACACCCTGGCCAGGACGAAGAGCACCAGGAAATACAGCAGCAAGAAGCACAGCTTCAGCCACATCTTTCCCGGCGGGCGGGCGGGCTGACGGACGGACGGGCTGTAGAAGCCGGGGGGGCCGGCGCTGCCCCGCGGCTGGCGGCGCTGAGGCGGCGCGGGGCTGTCAGCGCGGCGGGGCTGCGCGCCCCCCGCCTCCCTCCCGCCGCTGTCCCCGCCCCGGCGGAGCCGCGGCCGCCGGCGGAGACATAACAAGTGACGTGTGCGGGCGGGCGGGGACCGGCGGAGGGAGCGAGCGAGCGAGCGAGCGGGGCCGCGCTCGGCCTGCCCTCCGTCCGCCCTCCGCCCGCTACTCGGGGCCGCGGAGGTTCGCACAGCCCCGGCCCGCCGCCCCTTGCCGGCTGACGGCAGCGCCCTCACCGCGCACGGTAGAGCGCCGGAGGCCTGCCGACCGAATGGGCTGCGCCGTAAATAAAGAGGTTGTGCCGTAAATAAAGGGGTTGTGCTTGCCCTAGGCATCAGCTTTGGACCCGATTGCTGTGGTTGCTATAAAATAAACCTAAGAAAACACCAAGAACGGGCAAACTGCAACCCAGCCTGACGTTTTTCATTAGGAGAAAGGTGTTCATGCAGACAGAGCTGAAGTGCTTGGACAGTTCACAGGATCATAGAATCATTAAGGTTGGAAAAGGGCTCAGATCACCAAGTCCAACCACCAACCCATCCCCACCATGCCCACCAGCCATGTCCCTCAGTGCCACATCCCCAGGCTCTTGAACATCTCCATCAACGGTTTGACAGCAACCCCGTGGGACCGCTTGATCATAGGATCACACCATAGAATGGCCTGGGTTGAACAGGACCATAATGATCGTCTAGTTTCAACCCCCCTGCTATTCACAAGGTCGCCATCCAACGCAGACCAGACCACTTCACTGGGGTTCTGCACAAGAAGTGTGAGAAAGGCTGTAAAGAGGTGATTTAGCCTGCTTCAAAACACACTGCAGTCACACTTGGTCTTTGAGATGAAGGCTCTCCTCTGAAGGGAACTCAGCATCGCCTCTGTAGGTTTAGTTATTTTAAGAAACCACAGTTTGCATTAAAATTGCCAACTCATACACAAACACAGAAATAGCACAGCTTCATTTAAAGAATACTGACAACCCCTCAGAGCACACATGCTTAAGTAATTCTGCACTAAGGCATAAAAATCGAATTTTATCATAAATATTGACTTGTAAAAAGCATCTAAATGGCCACGGTCTTCAGATCAGTTAAAAAACAGTTAGAGGGTTCTTACATGTTGATTTGAAGGGGTAATAAGCACTAACCATTACACCCACATCAACCACTGTAAAAAATGAAATACAAACGCTGTTCTTGTGCTCCACCTGCCTTATCCCACGCATCCTTATGCCTGGGCATCCTGGATGCAGGTTCAGCCCATGTTGTCCTGTTTAGCTTTGCAGGTGACTGCACAGCCACGATGGCCTCTTTGAGAACGGCTTTCTATCGCAGGGGGCTCGTTTTGTTTCTGGAAAGGGGAAGAGAGATTGCAGAAATACCTGCTCACAAACTAAGTCCTCATAGGCTTCTAAATGTTCTGTGTTGTACTGGGAGCCATACAACTCCTTATTCCTCATAATTGTAATGTGGTACAGTAAAGATTAGAGGAGGGAAGAGTGGACTGCATCAGAGCTGCTGCTGTTGCTCAGCTGAATAATAAAGGGGTTTCAGCAGCTCAGTTTGATTTGGAGTGAGCTTGCACAGAAGGTACTGGAGGAAAAAGTGACAGAGCTTGTAGGACAGGCTGTAGCCCTCTCCTTCACAGTCACTCAATTTTTTAAATCCCCTTCAAGGACCAATCTCCCTGATGAGAAAGTGTCTGTGGCACAGCATCACTAAGATTAATCCTTTCCCCTTGGCAAAAACAAAACCGTGAGTGGCTTTGTTATTGCAGTTGGCAGAGCCAAGGGATTTTCAATAAAAAGCACATTTAATGTCACCTGTCGCTAGGACCAGAGGTAGGCTCCCCTGGAGTGCTGAGAACACACTGCAAGACCACATTTCTTTTTCTGAAGTTTCACAGAGACCCTTTACTTTCGTCACGCATACAAAAAGCTGCCCCATTTCCCTGCTCTCCCTGTTTCCTCCCTGTATCTTTTGGCTGTGTGCTGAGCTGAGGGATGCCCTGCTTCCTCCAGCTGGAAAGCACCTAGCATTAATTAAGGCTACGCTCACAGCTCAACTATTTGCAACACCAACTGCTGGGGAGGCTGTCACTAGTATGTTATTTCCTACTGCTCATGGGCTGAGTTAAATGAATTCTTAACATTCCCCAGTGGTAATTGATGATGAGTCCCCTGCAGATACTAAGCTAATCATCTGCCAAAACTCAAAACCCTGGAGTAATTTTCAAGAAAGTATAACTATTGTTTCAAACCGCTACCCAACACATACGCACCCCAAACAATCCAAAGCAAAGCAACTGTGAGCACAGCAGTACAAAGACAACAGAAATGTGAGGGAGAGGGAAAAATGCAAGTGAAAAGCAGGGCAGGGATGGGTATGAGCAAGAACCACAGGCGATGGGTTAGCCAAAGGCCTAGGGGACAAGAGGGATAACACTAGGAAGCTGCACAGCGGGCTTGGGGCCTCTGTGCTGAAATACTGGTTCTGCAAAGATTTGTTTTGAGCAGCACCAAGGGCTGCACTTGTACAAACCTGAGGAGCATTCGCATATCCACAGAATTTGGGTTTTTTTTTCTCCCTCCCTCCAACTCATGTTTAATATGCTGAGAAAGAATTCCTAAGTGAATACTGTCTTTACATCTTTAGTTTACAAACCTGATGTGTTATTTTCTAGCTGCGGCTGACATTTGTTGGTTTCTAGCTGTAACTCAGAATGTCTTTGACATGTCACCTGCAAACAACTTTTCAGAGAGTTATAATTAGCTGGAAAATTTGAATACCATAGCAGTGAATTAAAAATTCATTTGGGGTGAAGACAAACAAGACACGCGCTGACATTTTAAAGACCTTCGGGTTAACTCAACATAATTAGCAATATTAAACAGTCATCAGACAGACAGTTCTGTGCTCACTGAGCAAATATTACAGATGTAATGAGAACTAAATATGTAAATTCCACCTTTAAACAAAAACCCAAAGCAGAGATCTGCTTCTACACCATCTTGGTGAAAAGAATATTTTACTTGGATTTCTGAGAGAATGAGACCAAATCCTGAGAACTGAGACAGACATCTTTTCTTGTCAGACAGCCAAATCTGAAGACTCTGCTGCCCATTGATAAATGGCAAGGATTCCCTCTCCTTCATTGTTTCCTGTGAGCAGCTGCTGGCTGGGCACCCTGGGAATACAGACAGTAATCCACCTTCAATACCCAGCCATCTACTGGGAACATTAAGACAAGTATTGTCATTTTTTAAGTCAATACAACTGAAGACTGAAAATCTTAATTCCATTCCTTATCGTGTTAAAATATTATTACCCCCTTTTTCTTGGACAGTCTTAATATTGCCACATAGCAAGATCAGTCAACTAACATTTAAGCTACTAGAAACCCAGTTTTACCACGAGTCAGCCACTCTGTAAATATAATTGGCAGGAGTTTAGTAACATATAGTCTTCTTGGATTACATTTTAAACAACATGGGTGCATCTCAACAAATTTTTATGTGTGCTATAAAATATTATTTAACCGATCTTAATTAAATAAACCAGCAAGCCTCTATTAGAGTGTCAAAACAAAATGGCAGCAGCCAGACAGCGCTATTTTACCTAGAGGAATTTTAAAAAATGTTTGCTGCAAGTGGCCAAAAAGGAAGTCGATTTAACACACAGGTATTCTGCAATAGATTGGCCAATACTTGACACTTCAGATAAAGCTCTGGTTATTCAGGTGAAGCAAGCCTGACGTGATCCAGCAGTGAATCACAGCAGTTCCGGTGGGACCGGATCTCCAGAGGTCACAAAGTCCAATCTCCTGCTGGAGGCAGGGACAGCTGGGATATCAGAGCAGGCTGCAGGCTGCACTGGGCTTTAGGCACGCTGGAGTTTTACTCTTTGATCTGATAGACAATCTTTCCTCTCCTGTGAGAATTGCTTGTAAGCACACAACAGTTAACAGTGCAGAAAGGTACATGAATCAAGGCCAAACAGCATACAAGAGCAGAATACATGAATTAAATCTTGAATTGCCTTTTTTTTTTTCTAGGTATTGGTATTTTCTTTACTGTAACAGTAAGAAATCTTATACTGCCCCTAGAGAAGACAGATTCTGTTTTATGACTATATATATGTTTGACAATATGTGTGTATATACATATGCTTGACTCTATTTGTATTTGACTATATATATTTATATATGTATGTCTAAGTCAGGAG